ATAACATTGAATACGAATCGTTTCATAACACTGGTCACACTTCGATTCGTAATCAGCTTCGCCTGAACTCGTTTCCTAACACAGTTCCAACTTGTCATCGTGGAATCATAGTGAAACCGCAGTTTACAGTTACGTTGAAAAGAAAGCCTTAAAAAGAAGTACTAATTTCTTTTACTCGTTAGAAAAGATTCATAGAAAAAAGGTTTTCAACTCCATCGCACACATTACCACTGTAACTCTTGCCTAAGGCAAATCTTCATTTGGACAAAAGTTTTAATTACACCTTGAATTTGTTTCATTAGGTAAAAGTAATATTCTTCATATGTCTCGTTTTATTTGTGGTTCCATGAATCAATGAAAAAGTTACTATATTTGACTCATGGGACAAAAATAGATCTAAATGTAAATCAACACGTTTCAGATTATGAACAAATATTTCGTGTAAAAGATAATGATGCGATATTTTTATATAAAATTATATATTTCACAAGAGAAGAGTATAATATTCTTTAGATATCTGTAAATATCGTCTTTTACATACTTCTGAACCAATCTTAAGAAGCTACTGCAACATCGTTGTCATCCTCTTTTGATTAAATTTAAATCTAAGGTTAGGTTGCGAAACAGTAATTCGCTGAATCTCGATCTTTCACTTTACTTTCTCTGCTACTATAGCAGCACAAAAAGTAGCAAATTCCATCGATTAGGACTAGTTCGAATACAATGTGAGCAAATTGCGCAACACGCGAGTGCATTACTCATGCACCTCGCATCTGATATTTATGTACAATCGTTTCTGTGCGACGTACCGATGCGTTAGGCACGCAAAACAGTGTCTCGCGGTGCTATTCTAATGACAATACCCTGGATCGATAGCCACACGTCTGCTTCGTGATCGCTGTTAGTAACATATTCACGACCGGGAAGCCTCGATGCCAATAGACAGGCTCGTAACGAAAATAGAGAATATTTCTTAATTAGCGAGAGAATTGGAACCATTCTAAACCAACCTTAAGAAAGTTCATATTTCTTAATTAGGCATCGTAACTATTAGAAACGAGAGAATTGGAACCGTTCTAAATCAGTCTTAAGAAGGTTCAACAACGATTTCAGATTAGATTAGATTTAAATCTAGGGTTAGGTTGCGAAGCAGTAATTCGTTGAATCTTTCACTTTACTTTCTCTGCTACTATAAAAACACAAATAGTCGTAAATTCGTATCGATTAGGGGCAGTTGGAGTACAACGCGAGCAAATTATACAAACAGACGAGTGCATTAATCTTTTCCCTTGGATCTGATATTTATTTACAATCGTATCTGGGTGACACACGCGAGACAGCGTATCACGATGCCATTCCAACGACAATAGCCTGATCGATAGCCACACGTTTGCTTCGTGATCGCCTATTAGTACCGTTTTCACGGTCAGGAAGGCTCGCTGCCTATGGCAGACAGACTCGTAACGAAAGCAGGGAACATGACGGAGAGAGGCCACGTAACTTCGCCGCGAGATCTCGTAGAAGGAAACGAGCGTGGCAGAGGTTTACATCGGTGAAACACTTTCTCCTTTCCCTGTTATGAGATCACCGTCTCCGATTTTCCACCGACGACGACATAACTTGGTCGACGTTTCGCCAGACTCGCGAGGAATTAAACCAATACCGTGAACCATCGTGCCACCCCTAAATTGAACCTAGTTGATCGAGTGCACCGCGAGTTGCCGATTAGAACGTTTGATATTTCCTGCAGGCCTTAGTCTATATCCTTCCGCTTCGTCCAACTTGGATTTACCATCGCAATCGCCGCGATCTAACTGAGCTATTAACAGACTCCTTTCTTTAACAGCGAGAAAACGTTAGAAGGATATTCTTTCTCGACTACTTCCTAGGCAATTTTCATGATGTTGTGGCAGGCGAAGTATTGGGTTGTCCGAAAAGTCCATGTCGATTTTTGGTAGGTGGTACAGGTCTGAATATATCGATTGAGTGGTTGAAAACAAATAACATGCATAAATCCTTTAAAAGGTGGAAAGGTTGTGGAACAAAATGGCACCTATGTAATTCAATAAATATATATTAACACTTTATCTACCGGGCTATTTAGAAACAGACTTTAATTCGTAAAAGAATTTTCTACAGTATCATACGCCAATCTAGGCTGACAATAATTCCTGTATACTGTTACTGGGTACATTGAAAGCCAAGTCTGCTTCCAAACACTGAACATTGTAAGTAGACAACCATCAACACAGTAAATAAATTCGAATAGCTAAATACTGCAATTAAAAAGCCTAAAAATAGGCTCCCGGTAAATAAAGTGTTAAAATTCAAACGTGTTTTTGAATGTTCCTTAGAAATCGGCACGAACTTTCTGGAAAATAGTTGACATACATTTCTTAAATTCGGTAGGTTATTTTATAGAAACAGTAAATCCATGAATATTCATACCCTCTATGTCTGTTGAAGAAGTTTGACTAAATAAAGTTTGATGTTTTGGCAGGCGAAGTAGTTGACATACATTTCTTAAATTCGGTAGGTTATTTTATAGAAACAGTAAATCCATGAATATTCATACCCTCTATGTCTGTTGAAGAAGTTTGACTAAATTAAATAATAGTTTTGATATATCCAAATGAATTTTTCATTATAAATATATATATGTATATTTATACAAGTATACAGATGGAGACTTCAAACTTACCATTTAATTTAAACAAATTTCCTCAATAGACATAGAGGGTACGAATATTTATGGGACTGGCTGTATATATACAAGATTTTATAAAATCTTCAAATGGCTTGGTCAATTTGTTTACAAGTTATGTAGAATGTTCTACGTCAGGTAAAGCAGAACTGATTTCATTCTATTCGTTTACAAATGTGGTTATAATGTAAATTAGGGAGAAAAGGATTAAAAGAAAATTGACAATTTAAAAATGTTGTTTAATGTAAGTTGGTAGAAGTATTTTGGAAACCTCAAGCAAAAGAAATATTAACGGATAAAAAATCTATGTTTTAAATGCTTCGAGGTATAGCGGAGGTATTCTTAGCGATCGTAGCTCGATGAAAGTGCATTCTTCCTAGGAACAATCGTTCGATTGTGAAATGGGAGAAATTGATTTCGAACCTCGTCGCTTCTTTGCATACCGTCCTCGAGAAAGGAAATGACTCGGATGAACTGAAACGTTACGCGAATGAGCCGTGCCCTGTATGTGAGAATAAGATAAGCGAAACTATAACGAGCAATTTGAACAGTTTCACTGTGAATTCTGGACCCTCGAGAGGAATTTCAGATTGCTCCGATAGCGATGATGAATTTTTCTGGCAGGGATTCGAAAGTTGGCTTAATGGAGATTTTTACTCAAATTGCTAGTTGAAAGTGTTCGTCCACGAGGATAAAATTCTTAAAATTAACAATAGCCTTGCTTGTATTTATTTGAAACATTTTCAATCTAAAGTGAATTTTGCCCAATTTCAAAGATACCCTACATAAACACTAACCTTACCATAACTACTTCGTAATCAACCCCCTGATTCACTCTACCTCTGTACACAGGGCCAAGCTCTCCATGAACCACCTGGCAAGAGCACCCCAGGCACAATGAAGAGCATAAACTTCTACGCAGTGCATAGGATCGAGAAAATCGGCACGCGACCGCCGGACATTCTCCCACATTGAAACTCAGAAACCTACGCGTGAGATGACATACCATCGAAACGAAGCATTGGGAGCTCAAGAAATTAATTCGAGGGCGCTAAGGAAATTCCAATTAGAGAAAAATGGTGTTCAGCACCATAGTAGTGACGTCGGCCCTGAAGGGTGCTTTGGGTCTGATGGGTACCAGCCTATGGCTGATCCCTCTGCTGATAGCAGGCCTGTCTTACTATCGCTACGACCAACTGGACCCAGAGAGTCGACCTATAGACAGATACCCTCTGTACCCTGAATACGACTTCATAGTGATCGGTGGAGGATCAGCCGGGGCAGTAGTCGCTAGTAGACTCTCAGAAATACCAGACTGGAACGTTCTACTGCTCGAGGCCGGTCCAGATGAGAACGAGGTGACCGATGTGCCTTCGTTGGCAGCCTATTTGCAACTGACGAAGCTGGACTGGAAGTATAAAACCGAGCCCACGGGGAAAGCTTGTCTGGCGATGAAGGGCGGCCGTTGCAACTGGCCACGAGGAAAGGTTCTAGGTGGCTCGAGCGTCCTCAACTACATGCTCTACGTACGTGGGAACAGGCACGATTACGATTACTGGGAGTCTCTAGGTAATCCAGGGTGGGGGTACGATCAGGCGCTTTACTACTTCAAGAAATCCGAGGACAACCGGAATCCGTACTTGCAGAAGAGTCCTTATCACTCCACGGGCGGTTACCTGACTGTCCAGGAGTCACCGTGGAGAACGCCGCTGGTGGTGGCTTTCGTTCAGGCTGGGGTGGAGATGGGCTACGAGAACAGGGATATAAACGGCGAACGGCAGACAGGGTTCATGATAGCCCAGGGGACGATTCGCAGGGGCAGCAGGTGCTCCACGGCGAAGGCGTTCCTGCGACCCGTCAGGCTGCGTAGGAACATCCACACGGCAATGAACTCGCAGGTAGGGTTCGGTGAAATCGAGACAATCATTTTTGTAGCAATGACTGATTTCTTTAAGTGCAAATGATAATTCCTTTATAAAGTATATTTATGCATGGTAACACTTTTCCTGAACGTATAACACGACTAATGACTAATGATTACTCTATAATCACAATAATTACCATATAATAGCGGCTAATGAAAGTAAACTTGTCAGAAAATACTCGTCAATTGCTATTACTTTTGTGCAAAACGTTCGCGACTAATGAAAGTAAACTGTCAGAAAATACTAAGTAGTCAGATAATACTCGTCAATTGCAATTACTTTTGTGCAAAACATTCGCGACTAACGATGTCCAACGACTAATTTATTCAGACTAACAATTAATCATAATTCTAATAATTCTTCAATTTGTCTAACGACTAGCTTATTCCGACTGGCGATCGATCACGATTTTAGTATTTCTTCAATCTCAACTCTGCCGAACTCTGCTCGCAGGTGACCAGGATCCTAATCGACTCGATAACGATGCGAGCGACTGGCGTGGAATTCGTCAGGGACGGTCGTCGGCAGATCGTCAGAGCGCGAAAGGAAGTGATACTTTCCGCTGGAGCTATCAACAGCCCCCAAATCCTGATGCTCTCAGGAATAGGTCCCAAGGAGCACCTGCGCCACGTTGGAATCCCAGTCCTCAAGGATCTCCGCGTCGGCGACAACCTCCAAGACCACGTGGGCATGGGTGGCTTGACTTTTCTCGTCGACAAACCAGTGGCCATCGTCCAGGACCGTTTCCAAGCTGCTCCTATGACCATGCACTACGTGGCCAACGGAAGAGGCCCCATGACCACCCTAGGTGGCGTCGAGGGCTACGCCTTCGTCAATACTAAATACGCTAATCGATCCATGGACTACCCAGACATTCAGTTCCACATGGCTCCAGCGTCGATAAACTCGGACGCTGGAATCCAGGTTAGGAAGGTTCTGGGGATCACTGACGAAGTTTACAACACCGTGTACAGGCCAATAGCGAATAAAGACGCCTGGACTATAATACCTCTTCTCCTGAGACCGAGATCTCGCGGCACGGTCAGGCTACGAAGCTCGAATCCCTTTCACAGTCCTCTGATCAACGCCAATTACTTTTCCGATCCATTGGACATCGCCACCTTGGTGGAGGGTGCAAAAATAGCGATGCGCGTCAGCGAGGCGAAGGTTTTCAAACAATTCGGCTCGAGGATCCATCGCATCAAGCTGCCAGGGTGCAAGCATTTGAAATTTGCCTCGGACGCCTACTGGGAGTGCCACATCCGACACATCTCGATGACGATCTATCATCCCGTTGGAACGACGAAGATGGGACCACCTAGCGATCCCTACGCTGTCGTTGATTCCAAATTGAGAGTTTACGGTGTGGAGGGACTGAGGGTGATCGACGCCGCCATCATGCCCACGATTTCCAGTGGTAACACGAACGCGCCGGTTATCATGATAGGGGAGAAAGGGGCTGATATTGTGAAAAACGATTGGCTGGCTGCGGAGAATGCGAGGAGTGAACGAATTAGACGTTTTCGTGACGAAAAGTGAAAATAGTGGAGATTGGATTCATTGTTGTGGTTGATCTTTCACTTCGGAATTAAATGTTTGCTAGTTGTTTAGTTGAACGGTAATTCTTCGTTTCGAGGCCTAATTGTTGGGTGATTTCATTCTCGGCTTTTTATTTTCAAAACTGATGTAAAAATTGTATATACAGGGTGTTCCAAAAATATTGGAGGTCCTTGAAAAGGGTGGTTCAGGGGGTGATTTGAAACAACTTTTTCCTTAGCGAAATTGTTGTCCGAGGCTTCGTTGAGGAGATATTAACGGAAAACACTGACCAATCAGAGCGCGAGTATGCCGGTGGAGCGGCCGCGACAGCGATGGCTACGCGCTAGGTAGCCGCTCTCGTACGCGAACAAGTGACTCGACGTGCATCGAAGGACATTGGACGCAGCCGCTTAGCTCGAAGCCTTCGCTACCACGGCCGCTCCAACGGTATCCGCGCACTCTGATTGGTCGATTTTTTTTTATTAATATCTACTTAACGAAGCCCCATCCGACATTTTTGCAAAGGAAAAAGTTGTTTCAAATCACCTCCCGAACCACCCCTTTCAAGGACCTCCAACATTTTTGGGACACCCTGTATATAAGTTTCAATCTAACGGGATCCTATTATTTTTGTCATTAGCTGTCTGCTGAAGGAATGCATGGAAATAAATACGAGTCAAAGATTACTTTAAATTTTTTAATGGTGTCTCATAATAAATTAATTTTTAGTGGTGAACAGTATCTAATAATTCTTCTTGCTTGACTTCTAACCGAAGCAGAATGAAATGTGACGAAAGACGAAGGATTGTTAACTTTGAAACGAGGAAATACTGTGTGTTGTTGACATGTAGATCAAACATCTGTGCGACGTGAATGAAATAATGTTTGCACACCCTACATTGTGATATGTTGACTGTACATGCATAGCGTATATAAAAACTGAAGTTTTGTTAACCTAATTATAGCGTAGTTTAGGTGACCTCAGTTGTTGAATCGATGACAACATCTATATTCCAGTAGTTTGTTATAATTTAACGAAGATTTTTTAAGAAAGAAACTAGGCATCGAATACTAATGAGACGTGAATAAAGAGTCGTGTACAAAATATATGATACGATACTCAATATTTAATTGTTAGTCACTCACTGGAAAAGTGTCTGTTGTATAGAAATTACACCGGCAATGAGCTAATTAATGCACATTTGTACCTAAATAATGGTTTCAAAAACACCTTCTTGTTGCGATTGATTTTTAATAAAGAACGGAAGGTACTTTTAACAAAGGGACAATCAGTTAAACAATTAACGTTAGTTCGGCTAACAAAGACCCTCATACAATGATACAAAAGTTAGGTGATGATATTGTGCTCACCTAATAAAACACCCTTCAAAATGTAATATAGAAAAGCCATTTACATTTACAGAGCCCATCGCTAATACGCATTCAAATCACATGTAAATCTAACTTTTGTATCACTGTATGACGGTCCCTTGTGACATGGGTCTCGTCTACGTGCCATACTTCGTTGCGTAATTTCCACATTGCAAACCTTAATTAACTATCGCACGCTGTGCTCGTTTAGGAAACGTAGGAAACGTTTGATCCTGTTACCTCATTGTATGCTCTTAAAAATAAACGATTTGCGAAAGACAATCAAACCTTTGTCGAATTAAATCTGCCGGAAACAACTTAATTTTTAGTTAAGATAAAAGAAAGATATGAACGAGATAAAATTATTTTAAGAGTAAACGTTACACGAAAGAACAAATACAATAACTTCCCTATAAATCGGGAAGTTAATAATACGATTTCATTAGATCAAAATGTTTATTTGGAAAACATTTTACGTAAATACAATGCGATTGATTGTAATAGTTTAAATATTCCATTGCCTGCTAAGTTGGACTTTAATGCTTTAAATTAAATATTCAAAATAAAAATAGCAAAGAACTATAGAAAAATTTGAAGAAAGTTTTGAAATACGCAAAAGGATCATTAAAACTTCGACTAGTGTAGAAACGAAATAATAATGATCAAAATCTGCTGAATGGCTACGTAGATTCCGATGGGGCAGGATATGAAATCGATCGGAAAACTACAACTGGCTATGTATGTATTTAAATTGTGTGATTGTTATACGATTCGTGGAATACAAAAAGACAATATTCACTTGCAACTACCTCTACTGGAGCTGAATATACGGCATTATATGAAGCAACTAAAGAAGCACGCTGGCTTAGCACGCTTTTACAGAGTATACAAGTAAATCTTAAGGAGCCAATAATTATTTTCGAGGATAATAATGGTTGCATAACCATTGCAAATAATCTAACAGACCATAAACGATCAAAGCATATGGACGTAAAATATCGTTTTACACGAGAAAAAGTGTAAGAAAAATTGATAATACCTAAATATATTTCCACAGATAAACAATTAGCAGACACATTCACAAAGTCATTGTCGAAGGTCTAATTCTCGTACATTCGAAGGCAAATGGGATTTAAAGAACATGCATAAAACATTAAAACCTTATTAAAATTCAAAATTCAATGCATTAACTCGTACCAAATTTTTCTTTTAGTTTCACTTTTCTCTCTCATTATTTTTTTGTACTTAAATCCATTGCATCGTCCGCGGTTACGCAGATCTGGCTGAGTTTTTTCTGGGTTTTCCCCAATCCATTGCAACAAATGTTGGACCATTTATGTATCACCCAATATCGAACAAAAACAGTGTTCTCTCTTGTGCTTGTTAATTGTGGATCAATTGTTGAGTGGGAGTATAGAAACGAACATAAACTACATGTATATACAAAAATCGATCGCTCCAGGGTCAATCACATACACGTGTAACAACAGCATCAGTGTAAAACACTATCGATAAACCAGTTCGGTTCACTCCGAGTTAAGGTCTATTAACACATATCCGTAACGTATTAGTTCCGTATCCGTACCGTATCAGTAACGTCTCGGAGCGGTGTCGGATGTGTGCGAATATGTCCATTAAAACACAAAACAGAAGAATATTTAAAATCACTGACACTGATGGAACATTACGGAACTGAACGGATACAGAACTGAACGGATACGGAACTGACACGTTACGGATATGTGTAAATAGACCTTTAAGAAAATGGAGAACGAATAAAAAGAATTCGTGATTTTTCTATCATCCCTGCTTCCCATATACAACCATATACAATGTATACCGAGTATCAACACGCTGCCCTAAGCCCTTCGAAACAATAAAACTCACGCCAGTCAGGAAACCACAGTACGCAAATCCGCATAGTTGACTATTCTCTCATGATAATATCCGGAAAGGTCTCTTCGATAATTATGAATATTGCATCGACTGACGATGTTTGCGGAAAAAAAAAACATTAAAAAATAACGCCGATATATATACCGTGCGTTAAGCATTGAGTCGTTAGTCTCATTTTCCTGTTTGAAACCCATTCAAAATGAACATCTTCAAACGCTCCTTCCTTCTCGTCTCGGTACTTTTCCTGTCATCCGTCCACGTCCTATTCTTTCAGTCGTGCGTGCACGCCCAAGAAAGACTAACCACTCCGACGGAAAACATCTTAAACACGGGACTAGGCGCGCTGAATTTCCTCTGCGACATGGAGAGGTTCGCACGGACCGCTCAACCGAATATGTCGCCTTCGCCGAATTCCGTGTACGATTTCATCGTGGTGGGCGCTGGAACGGCTGGTGCAGCCGTGGCGTCCAGGCTGAGCGAGATCAAGAGCGTCAAAGTTCTCCTGATCGAGGCGGGTCCTGAGGAAAGCCTGCTCATGGACATCCCGCTGCTGGCGTCGTTCTTGCAACCGATGGACGAGATCAATTGGAAGTACGAGACGGAGCCATCCGACAATTACTGCATAGGACTCAAGCAACACAAATGCCGATGGCCCAGAGGTAAAGTGATGGGCGGTAGCAGCGTTCTGAACTACATGATAGCCACCAGAGGCAACCCTCTGGACTACGATCGCTGGGCCAAGATGGGCAATCCTGGCTGGGCTTACAAGGACGTTCTCAAATACTTCAAGAAACTGGAGAACGTGCAAATACCGGATATAAGGAAGGACAAGAAGTTCCGTGGTACGAAAGGCCCAGTGAGCCTGGACTACGCGCCTTATCACACGCCGATGTTGCCAGCGTTCCTGGAGGGCGGCCAGGAGCTCGGGTATCCTCTGGTGGACTACAACGGGGAGAAACAGATCGGATTCTCGAAGATACAGGCGACCATGTACCGTGGATATCGTATGAGCAGCAACAGAGCGTATCTGACCGGGAGGAGCATGCCAAATCTTCACGTGACGAAGATGAGCATGGTGCACAGGATATTGATCGATAAAGAGACCAAACGAGCGGTGGGCGTTGTGTTCGTGAAAGACAAACGTCGTTACAAGGTGTACGCGAGAAAAGAAGTAATTCTGTGCGCGGGAGCTATCGGATCTCCTCAGCTGTTGATGCTGTCGGGTATTGGGCCCGCTGAACACCTGACGAAACTTGGGATCGAAGTGATCAAAGACTCGAGAGTCGGCGATAATCTCATGGACCACATAGCCCACGGTGGAATGACGTTCGCGATCAACCTGACAGTTGGTATAACTCTGATGGAATTGATGGACATTTCCAAGTCATACACTAGTGACTTTCTCTTAGAGCACAAAGGGGTCTTGACGATCAGTGGAGGCTGCGAAGGGATCGCCTTCGTGGACGTGGACGATCCGAAGAAACGCGACGGACTCCCAAACATGGAACTGTTGGCTCTAGCCAGCTCTAGTTACGGGCAGAAAATCACCATGGACAATTTCGGTCTCAATGACGAATTAGTGAACAAATACGCGCAGTTTCTAAATGTGCCTTCGTGGGGAGTGTTCCCGATGCTACTGCGGCCGAAAAGTCGTGGCTGGATAAGATTGCGGTCTAAAGACGCGAACGTTAAGCCAATAATCGTGCCGAATTATTACAACGAACCGGAAGACAGGAGGGTCATGGTGAAAGGGATTAGATTAGCTCTCCAGCTTAGCAGGACGAAAGCCATGCAGAAATATGAAACAACATTTTATAATAGGACGATCACCGAGTGCGAGAAATACCAGTTTGACTCGGATGATTATTGGATATGCAACGCAAGGGCACACACGTTGACTATTTATCACTATAGCGGTACTTGTAAAATGGGCCCTCGGAGTGATCCTACCGCTGTTGTCGATCCAACTCTGAAGGTATGTAAATCTGAAGATTGTGTTTCGATAATTTACCTACGAAACGTAATTAACTATAGGATTATCGAGCTGGTCAATTTGATCCATGCTCTTTGGACTTCTTTTTAAAATTATTGAATTATTGAAAACGTCTCAACTACAAGATTTGGTGAGAATGATTGAAATGGGGAAAATGGGGCGAGTCTATTTTGTGAACAAAATTAGTTAAAGTTTATTTGTGCAATTATCATTTATTTGTGCAATAATATTTCAAAAGAGTTGATATTGTAAGTGAGGCAAGTCCGCTTAGAATTACTTTTTATCATGAGACCTATCGTAACGATTCAAATGTTTAAAAGAACAAAATAATATCGAGAACTCGATTAATTCTTAAATAATACTACTACATACTTCATGGTTCTAGGTAATCGGAATTAAAGGACTGAGAGTAATTGACGCTTCCATAATGCCGGACATACCATCGGCTCACACAAATATTCCAGTGTACGTGATTGCTGAGAAAGGATCCGACATGATTAAAGAAGAATGGGGATACCTGAAGAGTTGATTAACAGACTGATAAGGCAGCATCAACATGGAAACTAAGCTAAACAAACTACTTATTTTGTTATTTCCTCTCCTGGGATTCTCAAGATAACTCAAATTGTATAGCAAATGAAATCCCACCTTTTCCCGCCGTCCCTTTTGTATATTTCTGATCTTTAACAGAAGACTATAACAGAAGAAATAAACTATCTGCAAGTAAACCCAACAGGTTGCTTCGTCGAGTACCACAATGGAAAATAAATTAATTTATAATATGCTACAGGTGGGTGTACTACTTTCCCTATGCAAATACGTTCGACCAATTCATTCGGATAGCTTTTTAATTTCTCAAGAGACATAATGTGTTTCTAGACTGTGATTTCACTTATGAATTTGAATTGCTAACTAATTCGGAACTTGTTATACAAACACGTACTGCACCTCTGTTTTAATAATAACTAGTAATCAGACAAGACAAACCTACTACACTAACGTTTTATTTCCTCGTTTTTTGCCCATCGTAATCAGTGATTCGCTATACCTGTCTAACGCAAATTCGTTTCTCTACACAACCAGCGAGAATATAAACCCTGAGACTGAATTCGCCATTAATTTTGTCTAGCTAAAGAGAAAAATCACAAGGGGATTGATTTCTCAACAAGAGGTCACCCACTCCTCCATTACCGGTACGTGCCTCGAAAATACAACAGTTGCATTCATCTCACCTGACGTCTCTTGCACAAGTCGAGAAATCCTGGAAGCAACAGTGCCCAATTTATTCGCAACGACCCAAAATTACGCACACGTAGCGCAGTGATTACGTACGAATGTAGAATATCATGGCGAATTATACCGGGCATAAAAGTGGAACGTGAGCGAGATAAAATAGATGCACGCCATAACAGAGAAACCACGAGAAACGAATGGACGGTGTACAAAGCGCTATTACTCAATTCTCTGTAAGTATTACGTGAACGTCGCCGTGAAAGCGCATTTCTCTAGCGGATCTCGAAGTGGAAAGTGGTCTTCACACGGGAGGTTCTCAGAAGGAGTTTCGGCAGCCTCGCAACATCACCTGTGCTCGACGACGCTGGAAGTCACGAATTAACTAGCCACGCGCGGAAGACTATGGTAATAACAACTAAGCAAAAGATCACGTTATCCCGTTCGACGATAATGACGAGTAAAAAGACTTGAACTACGTCTAACATTTAACGCGTTTACGTCGCGTGAACTTTTGCTCGCCTTCCTGGACTCGTGTGATTTGTCGTTGCACGATAAATCGCGGTTTTTGTGTCGAGGATACGCGGTCCCGTAAAAGTTTAATGCTTGTACGAGGTCGCGATAGAACGAAGGAAATACAAAAACTGTTTGAAAAAAATTTCTGAGAAATTGACGAATTTTGTTTACAGCGTTGACACGAGGGATCGAAACGTTTATACTGTGTTATTGCTCTTGACGGTCGAAACTTTTGTCCACGAATATTTTCGAATGATTACAATTGAAGTTGTACTCGCTTGTTTTGTCACAAATGAAAATCTAGACGAGTGTGGTGATTCTGTATGTTTTTTTTTAACGAAAACCAAACCGCGAATCAAATCGCGATTTTCTGTGCTTCTTGATTGTACTTACAAAGGCGCTAAATATATTTTTTCATTCGAGTAATTTCAATAATGCACGAGTTATCAGTAATGATTTTCGAAAAATACAAGCTTCGTTTGCGATAATGCACGAATAACGAATCGACTTGTACCTCGAGAAAGGTTTGCTCGTTGACAATTACGAAATTCATCGCGATACTCGTTATCGAGTGTTCTGTTTACCAGTTACATAACGCGTACTCGGTGTGTGAATGAAAGTGGACTGGTTTATGGGCAACTTCTACGTACGGTATGTGTAGTACCGCGATCAAGTGCAGTGGCGAAAGCGTGCATGTTTGATGGGGTGATAATAGAGTTGTACTCTCGGCTAACAAACGATTCTACGTTGTTTATCTTGGAATTTATAGTGCGTGTGTTTCTCGATGTGATGAAGTGTAAAGTGTCAACCAGAACGATACACGGTGTTCTTGAATAAACCATTGCTTTGTAATTAAAAATCACTTGCATTTACCACTGTACTAATAAAAATACGAGTTAATGTTCAGTTTGAAAGGAATGAAGATAAAATTTAGTGAAACAAAAATTAGAGTAAAATAAAGATATCTTTAACGTTTAAAAAAACATCATTACGTTTGGAAATAAGAATTTTTTGCATACATTGCATACAGAAAGAAATTAATCTTGAAAAAAAAAAACAAATTGATATACACAGTACTCAACAACCGGTAGGATGAAAATAAATAAAAATGGAAACATGTATATACAAGCATACGACGCACTCTAATTTTGCACCTTAAGTGAGATTACGAGAAAATTTGTTTTTATCCTTTCGGTAAAATTCTCCTAATCAGGCTTATTTCTTTCCCAGCATCATGGCTCGTCACGTCGGAATATTACTGCTGGTGGTTCCCCTCCTCATCTCCTTCGGAGAATCTCAATCGTTCCTGGACTTGATGAAGAGTTACGGGCCCTCGTTGGAAGTCTTAAATAGAATCGATCCGAGTAACAAGCGGTACGACTTCATCGTCGTAGGCGCCGGTTCGGCTGGCTCCGTGCTGGCGAATCGTCTCTCGGAGAACAAGAAATGGAACGTCCTCCTTCTGGAAGCTGGAGGGACCGAGACTCTGTTTAATCAAATCCCGATCTTCGTGGGTTACTTCCAATTGTCCAACTTCAACTGGGGCTACAAAGTCGAGCCTCAAAAGAACGCCTGTCTGGGAATGGTGAACCGACAATGTTCCTGGCCACGTGGCAAAGCTTTGGGCGGTACCAGCTCGCTCAATTACATGATCCACACGCGAGGAAACAAGCTTGATTACGACATCTGGGCCGCGCTCGGGAACGAGGGCTGGTCTTATAACGACGCGTTGTATTATTACAAGAAAAGCGAGAGATTCGATGTTCCAGGTGAGACGGTTATCTTCTGCGTGTTGGACGGATGGAACAGATTCTAATCTAGGTCAACGCATATTTATCATACGTATAACTAGATTGCAAATGCTTATGCAAATTCATATCTTCATATACACAGATGTATAGCGGAAACTTAAATTTCAAAGTATGTTTTGTCTTCCACATTTTGCAACGTGTAAAGTCTCATAAATATTCGTACCCTCTATAAATATTAAAGAAGTTTGTCTAAATTAAATAATAGGCTCGATGTTTTCAAATAAATGTTTCGTTATAAATATGTACATGGATAAACTTTACACTTGTATATATATATATATATATATATATATACACATATACATATTAGGTGGACTGGAAAGTAGTGTCGTTTCTGCGACACTCGATACTTGTTTATTATTCATCAGCTCATTAATTTTTATCGATTTAGCACTGAAAATTTGCGCACTGAAAATTTGCACACTGGATAACAAAAAGCTGTTGATAGCAAGGCTGATTACATAATTGATTAAAAGCAGAAACTTATTAAGAATGTATTTGTTTGAATTTAACGTGAAAGAAATGACGTTACTTTTCGGTCCCCCTAATATATATAATGAAAAATTGATTTGGAAACATGAAGCCTATCATTTAAATTTAGACAAATTATATCGATGCACTTGTAGGATTGCATATTTTAGTACATTTACATTTGCCATGAATGCATAAATATTCCCAGTCGAAAAACTATATTTTCAATAAATATCTTTGCGCTTATAGTTTTCTCGAAAAAATTGGAGTAAAAGCATTTAACGTTGCCTCCTACGTTCTCCTATTTATTTCATCTCGATCCTCTCAACTCGCTCGCGCTTCGATACTTGCTTCTACGCATGAATCGAGGTCCGTTAACGATTCCTCAATAGCAAATCATTTCCAGGCATCAAGAATTCCACCTACCACGGAGACAAAGGTTATCTATGCGTGGAACACGTTCCATACCACACGGAGCTGGCCACAGCTTTCCTAGAAGCTGGAACTCAGCTCGGATACAAGATCGTGGACTACAACGGCCAGGACCAGATCGGATTCTCGTACATCCAAGCGACCATGGACAAGGGGTCCAGGTGCAGCGCTTCGAAAGCTTACCTGCGACTCAACAGACCGAACTTGAACATCGTCGTAGGTGCAACAGTCACCAAAGTCTTGATCGACGAGAACAAGCGTGCTATCGGGGTCGAGTACTCGTGGAACAACCAGACCAAGAAGGTCTTCAGCTCTAAGGAGGTCGTTCTTTCAGCGGGAACGATCGATTCAGCGAAGCTACTGATGTTGTCTGGAATAGGCCCCAAGGATCACCTGGAGGAACTCGGAATCAAGGTCATCCAAGACTCCAAAGTCGGTTACAACATGTACGAGCACATCGGCTTTCTCGGCTTGACTTTCATGGTGAATCAATCCGTGGCGTTGCTGCAAAGCAGACTGGCGAGACCGAGCGTGTTTGTGCAGTACTTTTTCAACAGAAGCGGCTTGATGTCTCTTCCTGGCGGAGCGGAAGCTCTGGCGTTTATCAGAACCAAGTATGCTCCGGACAGTAGGCCAGACATAGAGCTTTTATTCGCGTCGGGATCCCTCCACTCTGACGGCGGCTATCCCCTGAAGAAGGCGCTCCGGATCACCGACGAGCTCTACGACACCGTCTTCAAGCCTATCGAGAACGAGGACGCCTGGTCCATCTGGCCCATCCTGCAGAACCCGAGGAGCGTCGGTAGACTCACTCTAAAATCGAAGGATCCCTTCGAACCACCTAAAATGGACCCGAATTTCTTCACGCATCCAGCGGATTTGGAGATCATTCTAGAAGGGATCAAGCACGCCATCAACATCTCGAAGACGGCTGCTTTCCAGAAGTACGGTACCAGGCTGCACGATATCAAGATTCCTGGCTGCGACAAGTTCGAATTTGCTAGCGACGATTACTGGCGATGCGCGGTTAAACATCTGCCTTCGATGATGAACCATGAGATAGGCACCGTCAAGATGGGTCCTAAGAGCGATCCTGATGCAGTTGTGGATCCACAGCTGAGGGTATACGGGGTTCAAGGGCTCAGGGTCGCGGATGCATCGATAATGCCAACGATGCCCTCCGGGCACGTGAACGCAGGGATTTATATGATCGGTGAGAAGGCGGCGGACATGATTAAACGATCTTGGATGTGAGGAATGAGATGGTTTGAGACAGGGACTTTATACTTGCATGATTTTAACACTAAACCCACCACGACCGGTCAAATGACTATTCAAACTTTTTTATACAGTTCCTTTATGCTATATATGAATTATATACAATTGTTTCGGGCATTGTTCAACTTAGTAACAAGTGAAATATTGTTTGCATTTGACGGGTACGATCACTCTAGATGCTGAAATAAAGGCCTAACTTTGATAATTAATTTTGAGAGTATCGCAAAAGGAATAGGATTACTTTTTACAGGGTTTATTCAACACACATTGCAGTATAAACAAAGATTGTTGTTTTGTAATTTTAGTACAAAATGACGGCGACAAAGCGAGTCTCCAGAATGACTTTTCTTTAAACGCCTTCACAGAAGGACGGTTTTTTCGTTGAGTATAAAATCTGGAATAAATAACCAAAAACTTTTATAATCTATATACTGTTGCCTATAGAAGTACGTAGGGTTTTTTTTTAAATCAAATAGTGTAGAAATAGCGCACTAACCCATTTCTAGGTCAAAAAATAAATAGTTAATTGTTAATAAAAACGAAAGTGTACATTAAATAAAAAAACTGCTACGTACTTCTATAGCAAACAGTATATATGTCATAAATTGTATTGGTTTTCTGTTCCAAATGTTATACAGAGCGAAAAAACCGTCCTCCCATGAAGGCGTTTTAAAAAAACTCAATTTTGAAGACTCCCTTCAGCGCCGCTATTTTGTACTAAAATAATGAGACAACAGTTTTTGTTTATACTTCAATATGTGTTAAATAAACCCTGTAAAAAGAAATCCTATTCCTTTTGCGGCGCTCTCAAAATTAATTATCAAAGTTAGGCCTTTATTTCAGCCTCTAAAGTGGTGTTACCCCTTAATTGAAAGAAGTGTCTTTAAGACTAGTCATCTGTCCTACCACGATAGAAATATGTACTTGCAAATGAAATGCCGGTAGGTTTAATGTTAATACGTCACCAAAAAATGCTAACTACAACTATCATTCTTTAATTATCTTATTTAATTAACTTCGAGAATTTTTTTGTAGTCTATAAAATGAAGAACGATTCCAATGTTTTTCTATTAATAATACTATTCAGAAAGAGTACATAAATATTTTCGTACGAACTTTATACAAATTATGAATAGAAAAACACATTGGAACTTTATTTAATAGATTACGAACATTTTCGAAAGATTAAGCATACTCCAAAAATTTCGTTCGTAGTCTAAAGAACGATCCCAACGTCTCTTCTACCAATAATACTATTCAAAAAGAGTATATAAATATTTTCGTACGATCATTATACAAATTATTAGTAGAAAAAATATTGGAATCGTTCATTATTTGATAGGCTACGAACAAAATTCCTAAACTATGCGTAATTTTTCGGTCGTCACACCAGAAGGATCTTAATAACGATATTATATCAGCGAGATACCAAAATCGATACACGGGGTGAATCACGTCTGAAGTTTCGAGATTTGAAAATGTTTTATTTAAAGAGAGACGTATTATGATGAGCAAAAGAATGGCCTCAAGGTCTGGTTTCCGAGACTTTAAAGTGTTTGGTATTTTGTTGAACGAGATGAGGTATTTTCATTGTTACAATACTGTGCCCGATAAAAAGACAAATTCAAACACTACCTTCAGATGACCTCCTGAGGAGTTATTCTTGTAAAATCACGCTTCAAAGTACACAGACAATTAAACGTTCATGTGTATGATATGGTAACACGTACAGGTATAAAATTCTACAGAATGTGTTCAAATATACCGGTATTTCATGTTACGGTACAAGTCCCTGGTCGGAGACTGCTCAATCTCGCATGCTTACGAGTATGGTGCCTGGAATAATTATTCCTGCTACCGCAAGACAGTGTGCAAGACTTTTCCTTATAGGAAACATGACTGTGATCACAACATTTGTGAAAAATCATTGATGTACTCAACACTTTACCTAATAGGAGCCTATTTATAGGCTTTGTTTATCTCCTAGGTCAACGTCTTCCCTCCTGGAATTTATCGACTTTGTTCTCGGTTGTTTATTCACAATCTTTAATTTTAGGAAATATCTTTTAACACGTTGACTGCCGAACAAATATTCTTTAAAGTTTCTACTAAAATGAAATATTATTTCAACTATTGGAGACTGCATAATCAAACATTTATCGTCGTATTTATTCTTGTAATTTCATCAAAATTCGTGAATTTGGTTTTAAATTCATTTCCTTTGATGCTTGACATTCGGAATTAATTTCGTTAATTCTTCAGTGGAAAGCACTGTCACCCATGTGTGGTGACATGGCGATCAACGTGTTAATACGCCTATTAATAGTATACAGAAGTTAATGTTAGGCTACATTGATGTATATTAATGTGGAAAGTCCTCTTCCAAGTTGTAAGCCCTTTCCAAATATGGCGGTATTTAAGTGTTACGAAGCTTCGTATGTAAGTCTAACTCTGTTTACACAAGGCGTCACCTTTACCGTGGCCACTCCTTATATTTGCAGCGATTTATATAATTGGACAGAGTTTCAGAGAGAAATGTATGGTTTCAAGGTATGGTGGGATCTTTTTCCTTGTAAATTCTTAAGTAAATAATTCACCTATTAGACCAGAGGTTCCCAACGGGGTCGGTACCGCCCACCGGTGGGCGTTGAAGAGATCTAAGGGGTTGCTTTTAGTCGAAGACAAATTTGAGGGTCGCTGAGGACCAACTGCCGCCCCGTGGGCAATACTCGCAAGAACGCGCCAAAAGTTTGATATTAACGCGTTGACTGCCATAGATTCACATGGAAATGTTTACAGAACTAAAATTTTGTCTCGAGACAATCAGAAACTGTAGAATCTAACATTTGTCGTATCACTCATTTTTGTATTCTCGTCAAAATTTACGAATTCTATCCAGATCAGTTTCCATCAACACTTAGTCCTTGAAATCATTTGTTGAAATTCCTTAGTGAAAAGCTCCGTCACCCGTATGTGGGTGACGCGGCGTGCAACGTGTTAATGTGTACTAAAAATCTTCGAAAGCATGTTTTAACAAATATCTTCAATGTTCAAGAAATGTTGTAAATGTCAGTGTAATCAACAATTTAGGAACAAAGAAAAGAAACAGATTGTCAATAGTGGAACGCGGCGATTTAATCTGACACCAAATATCAAAAATTATTGTCGTTACATCAAGCTCAGCCTTCTCGCTAATAATATTATATTAATTTTTTTAATAATATAATATTTGTTTATCAAATTTTAAACAATCCATCAACATGTTAATATCTTTCAATAAAGTAATTTTAATAAAAACCGGTTCTTGTTTTTAAATATATAGGATGGTCCACCTAAGTAAGGCCACCTAAATATCTCCTCTAATTGTGGGGGTACAAATACTATTCTGTATGCTATTTGAATGGTTTGAAAAAACCATTCTATTGCAAAAGATTTCCTTTTCGGAGTTTACAAGGTTATCGATGATTTTTTGCGTATAAATGTATAATTTTTTTTATCGCATCGCGTAGCTGATGTAAAAATACGTTCACATACGTACATTACATGACCTTGAAATGACCTTTGAGTTCAAAAATTAAATGGAAACGAAAAATTGTTGTCTGTCGAGACTTTACAGACGAAGACGTCGTTCGGGAATCTGTAAGAGTAAATAAACACGTTTACACTACGAATGACTTCTGACACCGCAGAAATCAGATCATTTTTAAAGAGTTCGTCAGTTTATGGATATTATCCTTCGCGATGAGTTATTCAAAGCAAGAGAAATTTGATATGATTCTGATTTATGGTAAAATTGATCAGTGTTTAAGGCAAGCTGTTCGATTGTAACGAGCGAAATTTCTTGAACGCAACTGTCCATCGCGTAGTACATATGGAAAGGTGGTCAAGCATCTTTTTGAAAGTGGTAGTGTCAATACGAAGAAGCGTACGCGAACCCATAATGTTACAAACCAATTAGATACGAGATTTATTATGGAAAAAGTTGCCGAAAATCCGCATGTTAGTACACGACAATTGGAACGGGTAACTAATATTTCCAAAACAAGCAGAATACGAATACTTCGCGAACAAAAATTTCATCCGTATCATGTGTCTCTCCATCAGGATCTACATGGACATGATTTTGAAAATCGCCTGAATTTTTGTTAGTGGGGTTTACAGCAATATGAAAACGATGAATCGTTTTTTGAGAGAATGTTGTAGACAACAATTTTTCGTTTCCATTTAATTTTTGAACTCAAAGGTCATTTCAAGGTCATGTAATGTACATATCTGAACGTATTTTCACATCAGCTACGCGATGCGATAAAAAAAATTATACATTTATACGAAAAAAAAATTCGAAAACCTTGTAAACTCCGAAAAAAGTTACCGTAGAAAAAAGAAATCTTTTGCAATAGAATGGTTTTTTCAAACCATTCAAATAGCATACAGAATAGTATTTGTACCCCCACAATTAGAGGAGATATTTAGGTGGCCTTAATTAGGTGGACCACCCTGTATGTATAATGTAGTAATATAGTATATTTCACCTAAGAAAGGCGCCGTCGAATCACTGTTTGAAAAAAGAAAAATATATGTACATGTCGAATTGAGTAACCTCCTCTTTTTCGAAGTCGGTTAAAAAGGGGGCGGTGGGCCAAGAAAGGTTGGGAACCTATATATTAGACTAACGAATATCGTCTATTTATCGAGAAGAAATAAACGAAATAAATGGGCTGCAACTATACATTCAATTGCCTTTCTTTATCATTATCGATTAAATTTGTATTCGATAATGTAACTAGCTCCGATCAAAACATTTCACACGTGGTTTACGTTAAACTAATTATTCTAATGCTTTCGTATGTTCTGTGTTGCTTGAAACTCATTTTTACCCATCCGTTCTTATCTACATTGTTTTCAAACAGTTACGCATGGGATAACGAGTGACATTAACGAGTGTAATTACGCATATTTATCTAAGTGAACGCTTTGAAGACACCTAATTATAACTAGAGGGGAATTGTAAACGTGAACAGGAAAACAAATTGTGTTTAACACACGTGTCCATATGGTGGCATCCCTGATAAATATTTATGTTTCTTCAATTATCGGTGACATTTGATAAACCGGTAGTCAGAGATAATTTTCAATATGTCAAGTACAAAACATTGTAAACAAAACATGTAAGTTAAAGAAGATTATCGTAATAAAAAAATTAACCATCTTCGAAACGAAAGAAAAATTAATAAATAATGGAACTTTTTTTCATTTCTGGAGTTACAGACGTAGCTGCTACGTGTTGAAGATTTCTTAATGTACTTTCTCCAGTAATATATTAATATAGGATATATACATACATATGTAGAATTGTACAATAACCAGAATTGTAAATTAAGGTTGTCACAATAAAGAATATATTAACATACATATGTAGAATATATATTCTAATATACTAGAAATGCGAACTGGACATATCTGATAAAAATAATTGCAAACAAATGTCACTGACGTAATTATTCGATCGTTTGGTGTTATCCTCCTTTACGCGGAAGCGTATCGTAAAGGAAAAGCATGATTCATCCACCCAATGTACGTCATCATTGATGAACTGGCATGCTTTTACCACGAAGCTCCCTTTTATTAAAGTGGACAACAATGTAGGTCATCCATTTGTTGTGTAACGTGTCATACACGCAAATAAAACGTTATCTCACATCTAATTCGTCGAGTAAAATTACTTATCTCCAGGGAAACTTACTACGTAACGCAAATTTTAAAAGAAACAACTCTAATCAGCGGTGCATTATGTCATCAACGTGTTCACTAGCAAAGAACAAAGACGGAAGTGAATATTTCTTCTTTTACATAAAAAAATGTGAAGCTTTAAACGATGGTGGAGTTAAAAAGTAATATATTTTTAATGTAAATAATTCGAAAAATTTGTAGCTGTAAATATACTAGTAAATACTTTGGAAATTGACAAAACTAATTTTTTGTTTATGAAAAATACATAAACAGCCTATCTTTTACGATTAAATCTGTGTAAAATTAATAAATTCCTCGCAAAGTGACGAAGATTTGTTTATAAAATTTTAGAGACAATTTATGCACTACTGATGAATGTTTGGAAAATTGACAAAGAGAATTGAAACATGAAAATTTTGAATTCTTTGGAAGATACAAATTCAAAAGCAGACTATTTCTATGTAAAAAAAAAAAAAAAAAAAAAAAAAAATAGGAAAAACATAGGAGATATATAACAGTTATACGATTATTTGTGACCTACGTAACTGATTCAGGGTCAAAATTAAACTCTGCTTGTAATATCACTTACTAAAATGTAAACGAAGAAGAAAAATTCAACTATGTTGTGCATTCTTACACTTTTATATATGAAAGTAATATATCAATATTCTACACAATGATGTATACGTATAGACATTCCTAACCTCATGATCTAATTCCAATTGCCTCAATTGAACTACACACGCACATGTAAGCTCATTAATTTTCACCTTGAGAATATTCAGCTTAACTTCGATACTGACAAAAGATTCCTTAAACCATGATCTAAACATTAACTAATATTACAGATGCTTTAATAACTCTAATATAGTTGTAGGTATGCGACATTTATTGTTTTAAGAAATTAATGATGTTATATTAAAAATAATCTTATAGTCCATATATACATTACAGTGTGCACTAAGCCTAAAGAAGTTAAAATATGATTGATTTGTTATTATTAATTTTAATTACCATACAGACAACCTGTCACACTGATGTCAAGTATTTATATTCCCTACACCACTACGTACACATTGACAAAGAAATCAAAATGCAAACTACTGTGAAATGTTAGTTAGTATTTAATCATTTATCCCCATTCAATGACAATAATGTCACTTGCACACTGTATTTGTTATATCAATAACAAACAGATATAAACTTCTAAATACTACAAACCAAAATCAGCAATAATTTCGGAATGAATGACATATTACTCCAAATAAAAAGCCTGTTTACACATGCACTATTAAACTAAGATACAATCCAATGATACTGAGAAGTCAATATTTTATGAATTGAACAGAGGAAATAAAATTAATAAAAAAAGAGCTATTTTATTAGACCCGAATCTTTCCAAAACGAAAGCAATTTGACTGTTAATGTTGAGGTTTTAAAGCAGAATATGCAAGCAGAAGCTACGAAAAATAATCAAGCGTGGCAGCTCTAGATTATCATATTGCACCGCTCGATTAGATTGTCAAAAACCATGTATTTCCTGTTTATTAGCGTACCTGATACAACGAGAGCTTCGTTTGGGCCACAGGTGTGAACGTTTCCCATTGTTAGATTAACTTCCTGTTAACGAAGATGTAACAACAAACCGGCCCAAGCAAACAACCAGACAAACACGTTAACCACTCACACTAATCTACACGACGAACCGACAGCGATCGAATACGGATTATTTCAAAAACCCCGGTAAATCATTAATAACATATAATAACCCGTATCTGTCCCGCGTCGTAAGGTTACGATGTTACTCAAAGCCACTACCCAAAATTATTTGTAGCTTTTGCAAAACCCTAGCTTGCGGAACTGCCAACTTATGAGCTTTCGCGAGCAGTGACATCTTCTGGAAGATGAAAGCCTCAGCAGCCACATTCACGAATTTCAATTCGTGAATAGCTGCATTCGACATTCAAAACAAATGTTAATCCACCGATTCAAAAATAATTTCATCGAACTTCCTTTCACCATTAATGGAACATTCAATGTTAATCAGTAGGATTATAAATCAATTTGTAGTTATTTTGTAGTCGAATGTTGAAGGAATATAAATTATCTGAAATTATTTCAATAGCAAAAACAATTTCTATTATTACGAGAAAGAACGTGTGGGTTGTATGTTGAATGTATAGCAGTCATGATATTTGTTTACGTTAAAATAGTATGTACGTTGTTTATAATGACGCCAGGTGTTGAATGTCAGAGTAACCAGATTGGAGTAGTTAGATAAATATTTTTAACAGTAACACAATGTGTCTTAATTAAGAAAACCTATTAGAATCTTAATGAAAGCTGTTTATTTAAAACAAAAATTGCTCAAGAACTGCATCGTTTAATTTCACCACTTTATATACAAAGTTATTGTTTGAGAACTGGAAGCTTGAAAATTTTTCGTATTTATGTGTTCAAAACAACCATTTCGCAATTCCTATGTTTTAATACTGCATCTTTGTCGTATTTCTCAATAAAATGTACAATTTTCACTAATTTTTACAATTTCATAAATCTGACGTTTGCCTAGTATGTTATGGCAGCATTGCTCGGACGCCTTACGTAGAACGTAACACAACATAACCTACAATATTTGATAGTTAAACTATTGTTTTGATTTAGTTTTGCGTACCGCTTGTAGTATATAAGTTTCATATTATCGATATTATTAGTAATTTAATTCGTCTACGGCGTAATAAATATTAACAAAATGTCGGAAGACGAAGTAGAAAGCTTTGAAATTACGGATTACGATCTTGACAATGAATTCAATATCAACCGTCCTAGGCGTAAATTAACTAAAAAACAACAAATGCTTGGTACGAATTTTTCACAAATTAATTTGATGTTAATCAGAAATACTGAGAAAATATTTGATAGCTATTGGTAGTTTTAAATGTTAACCAAAATTGTATTGTTTCAGGTATTTGGGCAGATGATAGCGACGAAGACGAATTATCTGCCAGGCCATCGTTTAAAACTTTTGACAAAGGACCAAAGAACTATACAGCCCCTGTAAATTTTGTAGCAGGTGGTATTCAACAAGCTGGGAAACCAAAAGTTGAGACAGAGGAAAAAGATGACGATGACAGTGATGACAATGCAAGTAAATCACAAAGGGAGTTTCCAAACAGTTCCAGGTAATGTATTTAATGCAAAGAAATTTGCAATAATTTATATGTTACATATATGAAATAATAAAATATATTTTAATACTCCATTTAATTTTTGTAGCTCTGAAGATGAGAGACCAAGTATGGCACCACTACGTGCATCCTTTTCGTTAAATGTAGATGGAGATATTGCTGGCTTACGTAAAAAGAAAAGTAAAGTAAATCCCTTATTAATACAAAGTGGGATGGGTAGCTGGGAGGTCCATACGAAAGGCATTGGAGCTAAGCTGTTACTACAGGTATATATGAGATGTTATATTATTTACTTCTACATTATGAAAGTGTATTTATTAATTTCTGTATAATTTAGATGGGTTTTGAACCTGGGAAAGGATTAGGTAAACAATTACAAGGTATAAGTGCACCAGTAGAAGCACACCTAAGAAAAGGCAGAGGTGCAATTGGTGCTTATGGCCCAGAGAAAGGTCCAAAATTGGCAGACATGAAAAAGGAAGATGAAGTGGAAGAAGGGAAGGAACCAAAAGCCAAAGTATCTCAATGGCGGAAAGGGGATAGTGCTGTAGTTAAGAAGAAAGTAAAATATGTTTATAGAAGCGTTGACCAAGTTTTGGAAGATGGAAAATTAAAACCTAACAAAAAAGTAAAATCATCTAATGAGATGAGTAGGGTTAAGGTCATAGATATGACTGGTCCAGAACAAAGAATTCTGAGTGGATATCATGCAATAGCTGGAGGTCAACAACGACCTGATGAGAATGTTGTGGTTACCGATAAGAAATCCAAAGTTAACTTTGCCTTACCAGAGCTCCAACATAATTTAAGCATACTTGTTGACATGTGTGAACAAGATATTATACAAAATGACAGACGGACGAGGCATTTGAGCGATAGGGTAGTTGCATTAGAAGCAGAGAAAAAAAGTGTATCAAAAGTTATACATCAACATGGCCAGCTTATCGATACTTTAGAAAATGTACTCGATATTGTAGACAGATTAATGGATGAAACAAACCAATTGTCCTTACAAGAGACTGCAGAAGCTTTCAAAGATTTGCAAGATAAATATTACGAAGAATATAAAATGTATGAACTTGGTGAATTGGCTAGCAGTTTCGTTGGTCCGAAAATAAAAGAGTGTTTGACTAGTTGGAATCCAATAATGCAGCCCAAACAACCTATCAAACTATTCGAACAGTGGAAGGGTATTTTAGAAAGTGGTGCTACGACTCTTCAATCGCGAACTATGCAATCGTATGATCAACTTGTTTGGAATGCATGGATGCCATCGATTAGAGGAGCCATACAGTACGTATCTTGTTGTAGGATATATGTATAATAAAATAATAAATATAAAATAAAGAAAATCATTAATAGCAACTTTTTCTAATATCTTTTGCAGACAGTGGATGTGCAGGCAACCAGAGCCACTCATTGAATTAATAGAACATTGGATGCCCTTACTTCCAAGTTGGATACTAGAGAACATTCTAGATTTATTAATCCTTCCAAAACTTACTTTAGAAGTCGAGGAATGGAATCCTCTTACAGACACAGTACCTATTCATACATGGATTCATCCTTGGCTTCCATTATTACGTGAGCATAATTTTTTAGCGACTTTAGGTTTGGATAAGCCATTCCAATCGCGTTTTTTGTTTAATCTTTCATACAAAGAAACACTTACCAAGCTCGCCGATTCGCACCTTGCAACCAGTCCCTTAATAGAGTCATTCTTTCGATCCCAATCGCTCTTTTCCAGACGCCGTTCAGACATATCTTCAAGTTATTACGCAGATCAAATATTCTTCTCTCACACCAGACATACTTTACATTCTTTCCATCCATGCACTTTTCGAAATCATTCAAACAAGCAGACACATGAACCAAGCGTCCTTCTTTCCCAGCTTCCATCTTGCTCACGGAAGTTCGTTGTTGCTAATCGCGCGTGAACAATATTTAAAATTTCTTTAACCCTTTCTATTGGGATTTTAATCGCTCTGAGATGATCAAAATTAATAACTATTAAAGAAGTTTATTTTTTCCTTTATTCGACGCACTAATTGTCACTAATTAAGCCTAGATTCATTTTCATGCCTAGCTTCCTGTTCGCGCCAAACTTTCTTTTCGCAGCTAGCCAAGATGACGACGCTTGCTACCGTGAGCGGTAAAAGCTATTCCGTTCGAACGCCACTCTCCCTCCTTTCTCGTAAGAGAAATGTAGCACTTTATTTTACGAATTTTTTAAAAATAACTTGGTGAGCGAAATTTTTTGAAACTTACAGGGTATTTTGTTGGATATTTGACGATAACAAATAATTTTTTTCAATACAGAATTATACGTGGAAAGCCATGTATATGGTTATGGTCGTATACCCCTTTTCGTCGAAGTTACGAATTCACAAGGATTGTAGAGCCTTGAATTTTTGCCTTAATTAGTATAATTTTGTATTTAAAAAAATGATTTGTTATCGCAAAATAACCAATAAAAGACCTTATAAGTTTCATAAAGATGCGCTTAATAGATTATTTCTTTTAAAATTCGTAAATAATTGCATCATTTAATTACCTCATGCACACCTACGATATAAAGTTCAATGAATTTGTAGTGAAATTAATTAATTAAATTATTATTAAATAATTATTATTATAGGGAATCGATTGGATACGTTAATATATCCAATAATACGACGTAAACTAGGTTCTGCATTGGGTGGTTGGCACCCATCTGACAGATCTGCTAGATTAATGTTACAACCATGGACAAATGTCTTTGCGAAAGGAGACATGGAGGCCTTTTTAGTAAAAAATATTATACCGAAATTGCAAATAGCGCTTTCGGAGTTTGTTATTAACCCACACCAACAACATTTAGATCAGTGGAATTGGGTATATGAATGGGAGGAGTTAATTCCATCTCACATAATGGCAGGGTTGCTCGATAAATTCTTCTTCCCTAAATGGTTACAAGTCTTGGCTCTTTGGCTGAATCATTCTCCTAACTATGATCAAGTTACAAATTGGTATATGGGATGGAAGGGCATGTTAAGCGTAAAATTGCTGGCTGAACCCTTAGTGAAAGGTAAATATTTCAATGTCGCGCTTAATTTAAAAACTCCCGTGAATTATAAATGTGTACGATTTATTAATTTACAGAACATTTCAAGAAAGCTCTGGATATGATGAATAGAGCGGTTACAGGACCACAAAGTCATCAACCAGGCGCAATGGAACAAGTTTCGTACTTAACAAGCCTAGAAAGAACTCAACCTACCATATCACAGATGCCACCAACCGCACAACCAAGAATGGAGGTACGAGTTCCTCGATGTTTTATTAGAATTTTCGTGATAACATCATGTATTTCCGTAACCTTTCATAATACGATATTCGTTCTTTTGCAGAGACTTGCCGAAGCCGTTCGAACAGCGTCGCAAGTACCTCAAGGTTTCAAAGACCTTGTCCAAAAGAAATGCGAAGAGAGAGGTATTCTGTTCATGCCTATACCAAATCGGTATAGAGAAGCTAAGCAAGTTTATAAAGTGGGCAATGTCCAAGCCTATATAGACAGAAACGTCTTATTCGTATGTCATAATGGCATGAATTGGATGCCAACTCACTTAAACGCTTTATTAGACATGTCCGAACTTTAAAAATAACTGTATTCCTATTTAGAATGTAATTAACATTAAATAGTATATTTAATTATTTATCTTGTATATACATTGTAAGATACAGTGTAAGATGTGACAGCGGAATTGTACATTATGATGATGTGCATAGTTTGCAAAGTTGGCTATCGTTTTTGTACAATCTATGCTGTATAATAAATTATACCAGCATACGTATACATACATACTTCATTCGGTTATCTAAGAATTGAATTTTTACTAGATCGCGCCGCGTCATACCTGGGTTTTTCGTTATGATTGTTTCAGCGAATGGCGAGTAAAGAAACTAATGGCGCCACTGCTTTGCGTACTCGCAGTGTGCTGAAACGACCATGATATTCAACTCAGAACTAATAAGTACAGATAAAACCGTGTACATTGAACAATTTTTGTTTCAGTTTGTTCTTTATTTTATTTTCAGTTATCCTACATGTCTATATTCGGTTTTCATGTTACGTTAATATTAATAATATATAGTATCTACAACTACCTCTCCATTTTTGTCGTTCCTATTATAGTGTACTTAAGACTGTAGTTTTGTTTTTTTTTTATACTACTATAACGATAAGTCTCTTGTACAGCTTTGCTTCGTGTATTATACTTACGACGTGTACCGAAGCACTCCATTTGTAGCGTTTCTCTGTGTTCCTATGCGAAAGGAGAACATCTCTTTTCCACGATGGTACCCCTGGCATTCACGTTTCACGAATGCAGCCTCGCATTCGCGGATGTTTGTCTTATTGACCACTTGTGTTCGAAGCGGTCGAAGTCGAACGCGTGTAGGCGCCCCTGGTTATCCCACTACCGAGGCGCAGCTATAAACCTCCTCGATATGGAAAGTTGCACGTGATCCTGCGAAGTCGTACGTATGTACCTACAGAGTCGTCCAATAGGCACCGTGTATCAACCACCACGATGTGTGCTGGGCCCTGTGTATACCAACCATGGGCGCCTCCATAGACCAGACAAATGAGTTTTCGAGAACGGAATCGAGTAAATCCCAAAATCTGTTTATGAACGACCGAAAACTTTTCTTTCTTCCTTCAAATTATTTTTTTTTCCACATTTGTACATCTTATTAATCATCTACAAAATAAATATTTATCATCAAGCCTACCTGTTCCCTTTACTTGGCGATAAAATAATTGTAATACGTTGAGGTCATAGCCAATGAAAGATCGAGAGAGCTCCAGGGCATTTATCTTTATCACAGCACCTTCATCCCCTAGTACTTTATAAGAAAATGTTTTTCGTGTAGTGGATGATAATTGTAACGTCGTATACTGTATAATTATAATTTACATCTGAACATTTAGTACATAGTCACTTCGATAAATTCAGTATTGCATTGTGCCGTTTCGCCTGCATTTGATAGTCAAACTCATTAGTAAGAATTGCCAAGCACACCTTACCATAGACGTACGACTATTAATCGTTCGAACAGTCTCCAGTTACTCTGTGATTTATTAAAACGATTAACAGGGTTACGTCTCGAGCAGTATCTGTTAGAACAATTTTAAATACCTATTCAGTTCAATCAACAGGTTCAAGACAAATTACTCTTCGTACCCAAAACTCTTAATATTTGACCAAGTCACTAATTATCAGATCACAGAAACTCGATAATTCCTTTTGCGTAAGTTTCTGTAAATTACAGCTCAGGATAACCCACTCTGCGATAGGACAGCAGTTCCAGCTTCATAAGAGGTAAAAGGCTATTTATACATTCTTGGTTTGGATGGATAAGACCATAGGTGACGCCTATGCCACCACTACCAACGACGCCCCGTCTCGTACGAGTAGAGGACTGGTCCTGTGAGAGGATGGACATCTCTCGCCTACACGCCTAGCAGATCTGTGCTCTCGGGTGTCGAGAAAATTTGCATCGGATCGAAGTGTGTCTGCCTAGTAACTGGCTGCCTTTACTGCAACGGTCCCTGCACCGTGCACTCCCTCGCCGTGCACTCGAAAGTGTGCGTGCAGTATGCATACGTGACGAGGGGCTCTTGTCGAACCCGGTCAGATCTATAACCCTCGCAATACCAAGCCTTCCTTGGTTACGGGGATCGTCAAGGGAATGGTACTTTGAGCCTACCTAGTAAAAACGCGTAATGATTAACATCAACTAAATATTTTGTTTTCAATGCATGCAATGTAAGGGATGTTTCAGCATATGTTGCATATGTTGTAAGTAATTTGTTAGACAATTCAGTCTTCCCTTCGACAATTGTTACGATACTAATCAGAACTTGGTGTCATGTTCCATATACATACCTATTATATGAAGTGCATATAAGTGTATGTATATAATTGCAATAAGACACCAAGTGCATATAATTTCAATATAATTGAAATGAATACAAGTGTATGT